CAAACATCTTTTGCCTCAGGGCCCTGTCGAAATTCACAACCGAATTTGAGAAAAAAAGTAAAACCAAGAATACATTTTTTTTTTTTTAACGACAGTTTACTTAATTTTTCAGGATTTTGATTTGAAAAGAATTAGGAAAAATCTGAAAAAAAATGTTGTACAAAATTGCAATGTCAATGGTGGTGCTACAAACGTGTGAAAAACTGTACCCCAAAACTCGCTATATAACGTACGTACGTTGTATTCGTATACAAGGTACGTACGTTTTTTTTCGGGTTAAGAAAGTCGTTCTTGGTTAATAGTAACCAGTACAAACCAAAGGGAATTGCTTACTGTTGCCTCTGGCTTAGTCCCCCCAGTCTGCTCAATTGTATTTCCTGGATTCAATCTTAATATCATGGTTACCAACCGGACGTCTAGATCCCGATCTAGATAGTGCGGTGTTCGGTGTTTGGTTTGGAGGGTCTGGTTGGACCCCGATTTCAAAAAATTCGAATTTTTTTTTTGGGTTCCCAGGTCATTTACCTGGGCTTGGGGTACCCCGAAAAAGTAATGCTGATGTTTTTTGAGAGCCGATACCCCAACCAGACAGGCCCTGAAAGGGCCCTCTGTGTGATAACATTGACATACGAGTTCACTGCTTTGCTTTTATTTGGATGAAATCTTGGTGCATTTGAGCTCTCTGCTTGGTACATGACTATTTAGACTTCTGCGTGATTTTGCAACTCGACTTTCTGTCTATCGCTCTCGCTTATATTCCTTCCATTTTTGTGACGTGGGAGGAGGGTCTAGCCGATGGGAGGGGCGACCAGGGATTGGAGGGCGATGAAGGATGGGAGGGGCGAGCACGAATGGGAGGGCGATGACGACAGACAAAGATGAGCGACATTGGACACTGTATTGGTGGGGCCTGAGGGCGATGGCATTGGCACATGAGTTCACTACTTTGCTCTTATTTTGATGGAATATTGGTGCATTTGAGCTCTGTGCTTGGTGTTTTTTTTTTTTTTTTTTTTTTTTTTTCCCGGACAACCAGATGCCGACAAAGTAAACCGGACTGTCCGGGTCTGGATGTTTGGATGTCCGGTTTGATGCCCGTTTAACCGGACGTCGATCCAGACGCGGGTCCGATGTCCGTGCCCGGTTGTCCGGTTGTTCGGGTCTGGGGCAACCATGCTTAGTATTATGTTTCTCTTATTTGTGGTACAATATGATTTTCTTAATTTCTTTTTCTATGTTTTTTTAACATCTGCTGGTGGTATACCGAGGGTGATATAAGCATCCCCCGCTAGTACCTAGCCCGCATATGGCTCCTATCTATTGGTGCGGAGCTACGCCTGCTGGAAACCCGGTCCAGCCTCCCATATGACAACAATAAGAAGTATCGGGGCTCTTACCCGACTTCGACGTCAGAAACTTGTCTATCTTGCTTGCCATTTTCACTTTTTTGACGAGGGAAAGCGGTCTTGGCTCTGTCGGGGCCACCGTGGAACCAAAACCACTGTTTATCGCCCTGCAGATCCTCAGAGGGCAATTCATGTGCTATTTGCAAGAATCTGAGAAACTTGAGAGGAACTTCAGTCCCCAAACCGTTGTACCTCAACCATCGAGAGGTGGTGAGGTGGGAAGGGGTTTAGGAACTCTGATGGGTGTCGTAGGGGAATTCACCCCCCTGTAAGGACCTGCCAAACACGGACTGAGACACACAACTGATTTATGAGTTTTGCCAATGGAATGTATGCCTTGCTGAGTTTCCCACTTGTTGCTGAGTTTTCTAAGTCTGTGTGTTTGCGTGCTTGCTGGTCTGAATGCACGTCTGAGTGCTTGTTAATTTGAGTGTGTGTGCGACCCGCAAGGGTACCCATCCGTACGGGAGGCCCAAAGGGCCGGTACTTACCTGTGGCTGTGACATTAAGGGTTGCAGGGGGGAAAACACTCAAGTGGCGGGGAAAGAGGCCTGCGACACTTAGAGCAGCAGAAAAAACACTCAAGTAGCAGGTAGGCCGGTAACACACCAAGTAGAGGTAGATGTGCCGGGTACCACACCAAGTAGAGGCTGAGCAGAAGAAGACAAAAGTTGGCATTTTTAGAGGCCCAATAGTTGTAGGTTAGGTCTAGTGGGTACCAGTCCAACCAGTCAGAGTCTAGAGCCTGTACGGGCAATATCAGAGTCTACAATGATGTTTCCATTTGAACGGGAGGAGGTACCGGTTGCTTGGAGGCCGCGCGATCTGGAATTCACTGCCCAAGAGGCAAGCAGGTCGCTTTATCTCCAGGAGGAGCAAGGGGCTCCTCATTCTTTAGTGTGCAAGTTTGGCGACACTCTGCTTGGAGCGCGGGCTAAACCAATGCTGGCTGGAGCAGCGATGCTAGGTAGGAAGGCGCCCAACTCCCACCGCAGCTATGGTGGAGGAGCACGGGCTAGAGGAGGAGGAAAACGAGGACTAGGAAGGGGAGCGCCAAGGGTACTTACATAGGTATGGTGGATGCCATCTTCATCTCCTTGGTGGGCGCTGCATCTGGAAGGCCCCGTTTGGGGTAGAGCTACACCAAGAAGCTTCAAGGCAAAGTTTGGCATGGCGGCCTTAGCTAGAGAAGCCATAACTGTTTTGAGTTGTCTTTTGCACATGAAGGCAAGGCCCTAGCAGTCCGCCATAGCCTCGACCTTCAAGAAGAGGAAGGAGAAGGGTGGCCATGGCTATGGTGGACCTTATGTTGTACCTGCAGTAGAAGAGGGATTCAGATATTGATTTTGGTTCAGCCATTCAACATTATTATTATTATTATTATTATTTATTGTTTGAATAAGAGAGGAGGAGAAAAGGAGGAGGAGAGTGGTTGGCGAGAAGAAGGGAATTATCATTCGTCTTTGCTGGTGGACATCTTCTTCTTCTCCTGTCATTCATCTTCTTCTTCTTCTTTCCATCTCTCTTCTCTCAAGCTCATTCATTTGTTTTTGCAATTGGACGACATTGTACTTTCTCATGAATTTGTACTTTGAAATTGGCCAGGATCATAACATTGGTATCAGAGCCGGTTCTACTTGCTGGCGAGAGTTGACTTAGCCGCCATAACCCTAACCTAAGTGGTTACGGCTGACCACTTAGGGTTAGGGTTGGTCCGAAGTGGGAAGTGGGGCAGCGTGGATTAAGGAAACTGCCCCCGCCTCGTTAGGTCTTGTTGGGTCGACACTACTGTAGACTTGACCAGGTTTATTGAGAGTGAGCTCATCAAGAGGAACTCGTGTGACAATTTGTGAGAGGCGACATTGAGAGGCACTCGCAACTGGAATCTGACCTAAGGGAGACACTTGGCGACTTAAGCGCCTCCCTCAAGTAGGCAAGCTTGAGGGAGGTAGCCATTCTGCATCTACGGACGACAAGTTGCTACTTTGTTCTTCATCATCGGCGGGGGATTCGGCGTTGCACTTCGGTGTTGGAGTTAGAACCGCCTACATGATAGGACACTAGTGTAGTGGTAGTGATTGGCGCGAGGGAGACCATATGAGGAAGGGGGGTGAGTTATACTTCATCTAAGAGTCGAGGCCACTCAGGTAAGTGTCGTGCACCTAAGGGTTGCCCATCTGTGCGTGCATGGTACTGTTTGTCCTGTTGGGGTTCTTCTGGGTCTCTTTCCTAATCCTCTGAAGTATTGGTTGTGTGCATTGGTGTGCAAACTACTTGTTGACCTGATGGATAGAGAGATGGCGTATCTTGCCTTCAATGCCATATCTTTCTACAATGCTTTGTCTTTTCATTTTGAGCGGGTGTAGTTTGAAGGTTCTTTCTAAAAGTTGAATTTCGTTTTTCAGTATGGTAGAGGCAGGAAGTAGGACCTTGTGGTACTCTTCTTGCTTGGGACTTAGTTGCGGCCTACGTGGGACCCATTGGGACTAAGTGGGACCAGGCCCAAACAAGGAGGGCCCTTTGGACCGAAATCAGTTGACACAGTGTCGCTCTCTTTTCTGTTTGGAATTCGTTGTTTTTCTTTTGGTAAGAGCATTCGCCGCCGATGAGATCTCGACTGAGATGTTTTTGGGACTGGTGATGCGCAATCCGATGCTTGACCTGCACCTTATACACCACTCAATTCTCCATTGTTGTATGTCATCGCTTGTAGTATGATTTGCTGTACTTTAACGGTGCCGATCAGATTTGGCTCGAGGGGATCTCGTACTTGGTCTGGTCGGTCTGAAATGCGGAGTCAAAACTCTCTTTTGAATTATTTTATTTTATTATTTATTTGGTTGCTCTCTAGTCCAAATATTTTGTTGCTCCGGCTATGAGTTCTACCTTTTCTTCTTTGTACTTTCCAGTTTGTTTCTTTTGTTGAAGTCCATTTTATGCCCGTCGTGACGTGTGGACAAGAGAGAAGAGAGAGAGAGGGTATGCCTATGAGGGATCTAGTAGTTCCAACATGGCAGCGACCAGCCTTCTGAGGTTCTGAAAGTTCAGATGGATGCAGCGGATGAAGAAGATAAACCGCTATACCAGACCCTCTATCAGAAGGAGCTGGCCAAGGAGGAGAAGGAGGAAGAGGCCAAGCGGAAAACTGCTATTGAAGGTCAGGAGGCCATCTTTAGAACAGTCTCAACCCCGCCTAATACAAAAGTAAAAAAGGATCTGGTCAAGTTTGTACGTGCCCTCATAGATTGTCACTTGCTCAATGAGCTCCCTAGTATAAAGTCTCAACTACTTGACCACATGAGCCAACTGCAGACTCAGATGGCGGACATGTCCAAGGAGCATCGTAACCAGATGCAGCAGATGGCAAATCTGAATCAGTCCCAAATCTTAAATTCCCTTCTCCTACCTCATGTTGCTAACCGTTTTGTCCTTGCACCTTTCCATACTTCTTCTTTTTGTTCTTCTTCTTCGTTGAGTTTGGTTGCAAGTAACAAGTGCAAATTTCGTTGTTGCTGCAAGTGACAACGCACGAAATTCTGCAATTGTTGCAGCCTTGAGATCGGAACCAACAACAGCTGGTCCCAACTATAGCAGTTCATACATGGACCGAGAGGCGGTAATGATACCGTTCAAGTACGACGACATGGAAGACGTTGACTCCTGGATCGGCTCCATTAGAGCTTACTTTGAGGTACAGGGCACTCAAAGAGTGAACCAGTCCTTGATCCTAGGGACAAATGTCGAGACTGTTATGTGGGGCTTCCTAGAAGTCCAAGCTATGCAAGTTGGGTATGCTAAGCTCGATCTGACAGAGTGGCTTAAAGTCACTCTGGTAGCCGCTCTCGAAGAAGTGTTGATGACACAATATAATGACCTACATGTTGTAGCAACAGTAAGGATCGAACTTGATGACCTCAAGCGCAACAAGTGGCAGGGCACCATGCACAAGTTGCAGTTACATGTCAGCAAACTCTTTGCTACACCAGGGTTGAAAATGACTGCGCAATCATGCTTCGATGTAGTGAACGGTATGGTTCCTACCACTTTTACACATCGCCTAGGTAGAGATCTCATCGGTTATACTAATTGGTTTTCCCACATGAAGGATGTAGTCAGTCTCGAGGCAACAGACCTCGTTACCACAACAAGCAACAAAAAGGGCTATGACCGCAGACAGTTTCGTGGCAGCAACCGTCTAGTCGTGCATGACTTGTTGGAGGCTGAAGGAGAGGCCGAAGCAGATGACCCCACTCTTGGTGACGACCAATAATAGGACGCTGATACAACCTATTCTTTGACCCATGAATCTGAGGTCAATAACGAAGAAGAAAAGTTGAGTGCCTTCAAAAAGACTGCCCATAGTAAGGGAAACCATAACCGGAACTCGGCAAGGAACATTGTCCCACTCCCTGAAGGAGCCAAAATCCCAGCCAATCCGGAGGACACGAGTACTAAATCTTGGGTTGACCTCCGGATCAGTGAGGTTGAATGAAAGGCTAGGTTAAGGAAAGGGGTTTGCCTGCACTGCCAGAAAACTAATCATAAGGTCCAAGGATGCTATAGGTTGTAGGAAAACTAGAATCGGGCGTAGAGAGTTCATCAACACACTCTATAACAAGGGAATCTGAACCGGTAAGTGGTAGTTCCCCAAGGAACTTGGAACGGTCCAACTGTCCTCCCTTGAAGCCCCAACTTCTGCTGATTCCAAGGTTGATGTTTGCCATGTGTTGTATGTTGAGCCTTAGGAGGAGTCTGAGAAGGTCGACGTTCACTATCGCCTAGAGCATGGGGCTGAGATCAAACACCCGCATGCTCAAGGGACAACAAAGTTAATCTTCTTCTTCTCATTAACCACCGCTATCTTTGTGTCTTGATTGATTATGGTGCCACAACTAACTTTATGTCATCACATGGGATACGCAAATGGGCTTCGGGATGAAGCAAGTGACTTTGTAGAGCCCTTGCCGGACTCAAGTAGGCAACAAAGAAGTTGTCACATCCACGCATGCAGTCAAAGTTGTGCACCACCTTTGACAAGGACAAGACTGTCACACATGCGTTGAACTTCTATGTCCTTGACAAGTGTCCCTTTGATGCAGTCCTCGGGTTAGGTTGGTTGCAATCCCAATTTGAAGTGGAAGGAACCACTTTTCATGGCCAAAGATGCTCAGGGGGACGCGCGTCCCTTCCTCTTAGATGAGAGGCGTGAATCTCTAGTGACTTTTCTTAATGTCGTGCAGTTCTGCTAGAAGTAGCTTACGCACAAAGAGGATGAATAGTTGTATGTTGCTTTGGTTCGCCCTACTCATGTGCCTTCTACTTTTGCGGCCAGTAATAGTTCTATTTTGCATGATAAGTCTATTTCTACCCGTGCATCCACTTCTAGTCCAAATGATTATACTTTAGATCCGATTGCCTTCACTCCTAATTTGCGACCTGATTTAGGTGATCCTTTTTCTCATCCCCCACCATCGGCAATCCCAGTAAACATCCAAAGCCTACTCAACCAATTTTCGGAAGTTCTGGTCGAACCGCATGAAGTCCTCATGCGATCGGTCAAACACATGATCGAGTTGGTTGAAGGCGTTGTTCCTCCAAAAGGGTTGTGTGTACAATATGGGATCCGACGAGGTGGAGGAACTCCAAGGCAAATCGATGAGATGATTGACAAAGGTGGATCAAGCCAAGCGAATMTGAATTCGGTGCACCTGTTTTGTTTGTCCCAAAGAAAGGAGGCAAGCTCAAAATGTGTATTGATTACCGTGGTATAAACTGCACTACAAGAAAGAATGCATATCCATTGCTATGCATCGATGATCTGCTTGATGTTGCAGGTGGGTGCAAGGTCTTCTGCAAGATCGATCTCAAGTTTGACTACCATCAGATTGAGGTCAATCCTGCAGACCAGCACAAGACCGCATTCAAAACGCGCGATGGGTTGCACAAATTTACCGTCATGCCCTTCGGCCTCACGAATGCGCCGACCACCTTCCAATGTCTCATGGACAAAGTCCTTCGCAAAACAAATTGGTCGGTTTGTGGTTGTTTACCTTGACGATATTTTGATTTTAAGCAAATCGATGGAAGAACATATGAGGCACTTAGAGGAAGTGTTGGAAATCCTCAAGAAAACGCAGCTCCATCTCAACTTAGAGAAATTTGAGTTTGGGAGGACAGTGTTATCTATCTAGGGCACCGATTGTTTGTTGCAGGCCTTGAGCCCGAGGTAACCAAGGTTGAGGTCATACGCGACTGGCCTCAACCGGCGAATATCTGAGAACTACATTCCTTCCTTGGCCTTGCATCATACTGTCGGAAGTTTATGCCCCGATTCTCTATCACCGCCCGTCCATTTTGTCTAGACTAACAAGTAAGAATGTATCCTATGCATCGGACAAACTTTCAAACCTTGAAAAATGCCTTGGTGAGTCATTTTGTGCTCCGCATTGCAGATCTCAAACTCACATTCGTAGTCACCACGGATGCGAGCTAGTATGGGATTGGCGCAATGCTGCAACAAGAAAATGTTGATGGCTTGCGTCTGCTCGAGTATTATAGCAAACGCATGCCCACCGAAAAGGTAGCTACTTCCACTTACATGCCCGAACTTTATGCTTTAGGTGAGGCAGTCAACCATTGGAAGAACTATCTTTTGGGACGCCACTTCAAAGTCTTCTCAGATCATGAGACCTTGGAGTGGATCAAGGAGCAAATTACCTTTTCCCCTACATTGACTCGCTGGTTCCATGAGATTGACATTTTTAATTTTGAATTAAAACACAAGAAGGGTTGTTATAATCGAGGTGTTGATGCATTGTCTCGCCACCCCGAGTATATGGCTTGCCTTGTGAACTCCTACCACGGTTCTCTGCCATATTCTGTCCCACCACCACTATGTTAGCACAAAATTTGAGCACTGCAAAAATACATGTTGAATTGTCTAGAAGGCGCCCCAGCTCCTTCTATTCCAGCTCGGTGTGGTCTACCAGGCAGTTGTAGGTGCGAAGACAATGGTGGGCAATCTGCCATTGCAGAGATATGGTTTTCGTAGGTCTGTGTTCGTTTCCTGAAACCAGCGGATATGTCTAAGCAAACTCCTGTCGATGTTGAGGTGTTTCTCCCATGTGTAATTAATCACATCACTCAGGTTCTTTCTGATCCTCAACATTTATATGTGCATTTGGCTTCAATATTGTGCAGGTATTTTATTTTCGGCTATCTGTTTGCTGTTCCCGCTGGTGCTGCCCATCCCCACTGCCACGGGTCTAGGGATAGTTCTGGGTGTCAGGTTGATAGGCTCTCAGTTCTTCCCCCTCCATTATGGCACATACTCTGTACACTTCATCAAATTTCATCCTTGTCTAGCCAATCAGAAGGGTCCCCACTACCTATCAACCGCCCCCCTTTTTCCACTCCGTAGTACTCCACAAGCACATCCTCTGGGCGCACTAGTTGTATCCTCTCCACCTTCTCGGTCTCACCCCTCCTCACCACCCAGTCTCTGTCCTCCAAGGTTGGGCCTTTCGTTAGGGTGGCATACCATGAGATCGGGAGGGGTTCAACTATTGTTTCTTTGCTTTCATCCACGTGGTGGCAGTAGCGTAGTAGGGCCCGAAACTGTGGTTTTCCAATCCCTAGCATCCACATCCCACAGCTGTCCAACTCTAAGGACGCCACATTTCACCCATCCTTCCAAGGTGGGGCTGAACTGGACATGATTTGTCCACTTGTGTTGGTGATCCAACAATTACCAAACAAAGGTTGTCTAGAGACTTTCCTCCCACCACGCCAGTAGCGGTAGCCACCTCCAGGGCTATAAGGTCTGGACAGAACTATCATCAGCCAAGTTGGGTTCCATCACCCAGTACCGATTCTCCAGCCAAGTTAGCAGGGGGCCAATTTGTTCCAGGCCTAGTATCCTCTATGGGCTTTGTGTGGAGAAAATGAGCTTCTTTACCCATTGGAGGCTCAAAACTTGGGTTTGAGTGTGGGGTTCGATTATACCTAGCCCAACCTTTACCTTGTGTTGTATTACTGACTCCCAAGCTACCCGGGCTAATAGCGTTCAGGGATTTTTCCTTTTTTTTTTGAAGGCGGGGTTGTGCTGCGCAATAAAAAAAG